TTCATGTGTTTATTAGCCATTTGGATATCTTTTTTTGTGAGGGTCATGTTAAATCTTTTGCCCATTTCCTGGGGGGGAGCTGGATTGTCTTCTTTGTAACAGATTTGTAGGAGTTCTGAATATATTTTGGATATGTGAGAGCTTTATCAAATATAAGCAATAAAGCTGTCTTCTCAATCTGTGGCTTTCTTTTGATTTTCTTAATTCTACATTCTGATTTTCTGATGAAGAGACTTTTTATTTTAATTAAGTCATTTATCTGTGGGTTTTTTTTTCCAGTTTTTTTGGTTTTTTGTTTTGAGACAGGGTCTCACTGTGTAGTTCAAGCTGGTCTTACACTCACTATGTAGCTCAGGATGACCTCGAATTCACAGTGATCCTTCTGCCTCAGTCTCCTGAGTGCTGGGCTTACAGGTGTGTGCCACCACATCTGACTTTTTTTTGTTTTATACATATTTCCTCCCAAACCCAGGAAGAATTTGATCCTGCATTTTCTTTTAGAAGTCTTGTTGTTTTACTTCACACAACAAAGTCTGTGATCCACCTTAAATTATTGAATACAGTGTGAGGTAGAAATCAGGATTTTCTGTCTATTTTATATCAATATCCCATTACTCCAGGTCATCTGCCTCAAAAGCCATTTTTCTCCTTGGACTGCTATCGGAGACCCCTGCCGGGGATCCCAATGTCCTACTCAGTGCTACAACACAAGGCAAGAAGAAAGACATAGAGATAGAGTTAAGAGGAGAAATAGGGAGCCGGGATGGTAAAGGCATAAGCAAGCAGCAAATACCCTGTCCAGCCAGAGCCGCTGATATTTATTGGTGACACAATCGTTGTTATGTTGGGGGAAAGGGGCTACCTGTGGTTGTTAGGGATTTGTTGCCAATGCAGTCAAGGCTTGTGAAGAAGAGACACAGCATTCTTGTGTCTGGGTAAGAGTCACTTGGCTTTGGCTGAGTCACACATAGGCTTTGGTCAGACTCACGTCTTGAAACAAGTTGACTGTGGGGTTAACTCTTTACAGCTTGTTGTGCTTATAGCTTGCTTCGGGCGTAACCAACAGAGCAGTCCCCCACAGACCACAGGGCTGTTTTCGTCGTTATGTCAAGCAGCTGTTTACCTTTGGGTCTGCACAAGGACTCTTACACTGATCCATTTTTCTTTTCTGGACACCACACTACTTGAATACTTCAGCCTTATGGTAAGTCTTACGGTGTAAGTCCTCCAGATCTGTTCCACAGCATTGTCCAGCCTCGCTCTGCACGGTGAGTGCGGCAGGAGTGACACATTGATGTGACCACGGTGAAGTCACACAGCACTGCAACCTCTGTGTGCACAGTCTCGCTCCCCTTACAGGCTTGGAAGAAGCCGCTGCCCTGCGGGACCCACAAGACCAGGTGCGGCAGTGGCCTTGGGCGTGAGCAGAGGGCGGACTGCTTCCAGGTGACACCAGGGAGGCACTGCAGCCTCAGTCTCCCCATCCTGAAGAGCTGGACTCTGCCTGGCCTGCGTCTGCCTTGTATTGGACGTTGCGCGCGTGAGCCACAGTGAGACCACAGTGGCCCCTTGTGCTCTGTGGGATGCGGTGCCCAGACCCTGGCCCTCAGACCCTGGGATGTAACAAGTGTGGGCTGCTTTAAGCTGTTTGGTTGTGGCACAGTTGTCACGCACCAGTGGAGAGCTGCCCGAGACAAGGGCTGAGTTTAGCCACCCAGCCGGCCTCGGGTGCCGGAGACTTGGTGAAGCACTGTTGTAGGTGTTTCAGAGGACATGAACAATGAGCTTGGTAAACCAAAGAGCACACTGTCCCCCCTCGTGTGGGTGGCCTGGTCCCTTCAGCTGAAGGTCTGATAGACCAAAAATGGTTACCTTCCTTAGCAGGAAGGAGTTTCTCCTGCCTGAGCGAAATCAAGTCAAAAATCCATCCCTGGTCCACAAGCCACGCTGGTCCTTGGGCTTCTTCAGAGAGTGAGCAAATGCCCTCAGGTATTCTGTGAGCCTTCCTTCGTGGTCACAGAAGACTGGGGGCCCGGTTCTGAAGCCAGCAGGTGCAGGGGACAGAAGAGAAAGGGCTCCTAGGAAGGTGCCCCCACACCCTCTGCCCACCTTCATCCGTGGCTCTCCGTAACGAATGCAGGATTCGGAGCACGCAGTGGATGCTGCTGTTAGACAAAACCGTAAACCTGCCCTTTTGCGGCAGATCCGGGCTCTACACCGGCTCCTGATGCAGCCCGGCCTTGACCGTGGTCTGTCCTCTTTGTGGGCTGCTCCTGCCGCAGCGTTAGAAGATAAACATCAGCCTTCACAAAGCTCACTGTTCCAGATGGCCTCTCATCCACGTCATAAAAGACGAGGCAGTGTGTTTTAGTTGAAAATAATGCAGAGATGCTCTTCTGTGTTCCCAGCCAGAGGCAGCGTTTGGCCTGGCCCTTCCCTCCTTTCCCGCAGAGAGCACCCCGGGGAGCCTGGAGCAGCCTCCAGATTTGGGTTTTCAGTTCCTCACCCTGCTGCTACTGCTGCTGCTGCGCCTAACACCCGGCGGTAAAAGCCTGGCTTCTGAGCCCTGGGAGGGCCCGGGCCGCAGGCTCTTTGTTGCTCTGGTGAAGGCTGAAGGAAACTGAAATGCACCACCGGGAAGAAGAAAAGCCCTGAGCTGTGACACATGCGGACAGCGACAGCCCAAAGTGCGGGTCTGGAAGGAGGCCAGGGCGGGAAGAGCGCAGAAGGGCGCAGGGACAGCCGAGGAGCAGGGCAGGGCAGCAGGGCAGGGTCCCTGGCAGCGGGACTCTGGCTGCCTGGGCCCCCGGGGTGCATGCCAGGATCTGAGCCCAGGCCACGTCCCTAGGGCGGTCCTCCGTCCGTGTCCTCCGCCCCACTGGCCGCTCCCTCCCGCTGCTCTGCAGGGCCCCTCCCCACACCTGGCTCCGAGCAGCGGAGTCTCTGGCAGCTCTGGGAAGAAGCCCTGCACACCACCATCCCCACACGGAGCCTGGCTCAAGACCCTGCCAGTGACCACGCTGAGCCAACCGGCCCATGGACTGAACTCTAATTCTTGCCTAAGTCTGCGAAGACACTTCTGCTAGACTTAGTTTTGCAAGTGTGATGCAGAAAATTTGGAAGTCAGACATAATGAAGAGATGCAAATTTAAATCTGATCTATTACTAGCTTTAAATACATTACAAACTATTTTATATCTGAGAGAAGAGGATGAAAAAGAAATTCAGATACCAAGAAAGAATCTTGCCAGACATGAAGGGACACACCTATAATTCCAGCACTCAGAAGGCTGATGCAGGAAGAGCCTAGTGAGCTCAAAGCCAGCCTAGGCTTACAAGAGTTCAAGGCCAGCCTAAACCCCATAGTAGGGACCCAGTCTCAAAACACAGCAGCAAAAAGAAAATCTTACAAGTTACAAATTTTGCTGTTAGTAATAAAAAATCATTTAAGGGGCTGGGGATTTAGCTCAACAGTTCGGTGGCCTGCCCTGCAAGCGCAAGGACCTGAGTTCAATCCCCAGTACAAAAAAAAAAAAAATTTATGAAGCTGAAAGATAAATTTGAGGAAATCTTAGCAAAACTAGAACAAGGCTGGAAGTGGTGGCCCACACTTGTAATCCCAGCACTCAGGAGGCCGAGACAGGAACATTGCCACAAGTTTGAGGCCAGCTTGGACTATATAGTGAGACCCTGTCCCAAACACACACACCCCAAACAAAACAAAAATAGAACAAAAAACAGGTTAATAGGAAAGATCTTAACACTTATGATTTTTTTGTTTGTTTGTTTGTTTGAGACAGGGTCTCACTATGTAGTTAAGACTGACCTGGAACTCACTGTGTAGTCCAGGCTGGTCTCGAACTCACAGCGATCCTCCTGTCTCAGCCTCCCAAGTGCTGGGATTACAGGCATGCACCACCACGCCTGGCTTAACACTTATGATTAACCTAAGGGGATTAGAATGCTAAAAATTGGAGATCCCAAAATTAGAATACAGAAAACAAAAACAAATAAATTATCAAAGAAATAAGAAAAATTTCTAGAATCGTAAAACCAGAGTGTTCCTAATAGAAGGTCATATCACTAGCCAGGCAGGATCTTAAGTTTGAGGCCTGTGTGGTCTACATAGTGAGACCCTGTCTCAAAAATCCCAAACCAAAACAAAATAATAACAAAGAAGGACCTACCACTGAAAGCACAGCAGAAACCTACTTAAAGGCCACGTCATGACAGATTCTGAAGATACGCGCATATTATCGTAGGACGTGGAAGAAACTGAAAGTCTGTATGTTCAGGCAGGGCTTCACCCTGGCTCGGAAGCACAAAGGCCTTCCCTTTCTCACACGGGTCACTCTCCAGCCACTGAGGGCGTAAGGAAACCAGGGAAGGGCTCAAAGCCCGGCCACAGTCATGGCTTCTGCAGTGGAGCCCTAACATGGACGCAAGGTTCCCTGGCAGGGAGGCCGGGCGCAGAGAAGGACAGAGCAGCACCTCTACTGGCTGAGGCTGGGTCGGTCACCAGGCACAGCACTTTCTCCACGTTCTGGAGGCCTGGAGTCCACGGTGAGGTGCCTGTCTCGGTCCAGGGAGGGCAGCTGGCCGCGTCCTCACCTAGCACCATGTGAAGCTTCTTTTCTGAGGGCCTTGGTTTTGTTTGTGGCTTAATCATCTCTTAAAAACTTCTTAAAATCATCACAGGCCAACTCCTGAATTTTGGTGGGGACACATTTGGGCCTGCATGTAATTTGGAAAACTGCCTGGCACCAGCAAATGTCTTAATGTAATTTCCTTAAGCTTAAAAGGTTTCCTACATAAGCCCAGCATGGTGGTGCAGCCTGTAATCCCAGCACTCAGGAAGCTGAGGCGGGAGGATCACCATCAGTTCAAGGATGGCTTGGGCCACGTGACAAATTCAAGTCCAGCCTGAGCACCATACTGAGACCCTGTGGCAGACGTCCCTGCCCAGTACTAGCAGGCTATGAGTGGTACGTGCCACTTACCTCCAAAATCCAGCTATGTTGTCTGATATCAGGAGTCAGACTGAAGCCCTGTGTGACTCAAACGGGCCTGTCAGATGGTGACTGGGAGAGCACAGCCCCTCCCTCAATGGCTGCCATGGCAACCTAGGCCTTGATCTGTGAAGTGGCAGGGCTCTGCTGAGTCACGTGCGGCTGAGGTCAGGGTGACCCCAGTTAAACCCGTTCCCCTGAATTATGGCTTCTCACTGACCCTGTGGGTCGCTTGCTAATTGCACCTGGTCCCAGTACTCATTTCCTCTGTCCTAGCAAGATAAGCAGCGCCTCCTCCCCGACAGCCCTGGCTGGCGCCATCATGCCAGGTGTTCGGCAGTGATTCACTAGATGCCTTCGAAGCTCCCCAGCTCCCCACTCCTTCCCACGATTGTGTTCAAGAAATACTGGATGTGCTTGAGGGCCTTTGCTTTGCTGCCATCAGCAGCACTGACCAGGACCCAAGACTCAGCTTCTCCGCTCGAAGTCTCGCTTCTGAATGTCCTTGAATTCGCCTTGGGCTGTGGTGGCTCACAGGAGGCCAAGGCCCAGAGCAGAGGACCCGGTAACGTCCCCTTCCCTTCTCCCTACAAGACCCTGTCTCAAAAACAAACAGATGGAAAATCCCCCTCATAAAGGACTGACTACAAAAATTTACCAACACTGCGATTAAGTGAAAAAATTGTATAAAATGGCCAACCCTAGTAACCACGAAATTAAAATGTTGTAACGGTATGTTTTTATTAATGATTTTTTGCTCACTCAGAATTTTTCCTAGTATTGTTATATTGGCTTTCAAATTTTAAAAAATAAATTCCTTTCTTTTACCTTTAAGATACTTGGCCCCAAGGACACGATGGTGGCTCTAATTCACGTTGTTTACTCTGCTCTTCATGTTCCCTTTAGTGCGAGGAGCAATAACGGGAAGGGCTGTTTAAGCTCTGGGAAGCTGAATAGAATAGCATTTGAATGACAGCATATAATTACAGATCACAAAGGACACGGTACAAAGTGTACCCGATTCCACCTCTTCCAACCTAGCAGAGAGCAAAGTGCCTTCTGGAGATAGGAGATTAATAAAATGGGAAGGAAATAATAATTTTTGGAGCAACATTTTCTTAGGTAGAGAGAGCTATCACAACTAGAAAAATGTTTGCTAAAATTTAATAAAACCTATACCACTCATTATGAACTTCTCAAGTCTGATTTCATTGAAATTTACCTTTTATTTCCATTTTATTGTTTTCCAAAAATGTTTGTCCAAGCTGGGCATGGTGGTGCACACCTATAATCCCATCCTGTGGAGAGCTGAGGCAGGAGGGTTCCCGTGAGCTCCAGGACAGCTTCGGCTACACAGGGAGACCCTGTCTCCAACCTCCCTAGAAAAAGTATATCTGACAAGCACCCACCCGGCCAACTCTCCTGTGGGAGAGGGGTGAGCTCAGGGGACCCTAGGAGAGGTGAGTAAGGGCCCGGCCGTTGGAAGAGAGCAGGACAGCACGGTCAGACACCAGGGGCTCTGGCTGCACTCAGCACACTATGCGCCCCCCTCCCCGCAGATGCAATAGGGACACACACACACACACACACACACACACACACACACACAGGCACCAGAGCTTCGGGAGTGGCTCCCCCTCCTGGCCCTGGTGAGTGGCTTTGCCCCAAGGCACTGGTCAGGGAGCAGGGAAGGGAAGGACACTCCTCTCCCTCCCCACGTCTCAGCCCCTTCCTTTCTTCCATGCCACCCAGGGCACAGCAAGGTCCAAGAGAAATCCTAGGTGGAAATCTCTGTGCCTAAGGTGATTCTCTCCTTCCAGTATCTCATTAGTTCTCCGGAGGAGTCCGTGGAGCTACTCTGCATAACGTGTAAAACACGGACCCCAAACTGAACAGCACCCAGACGCCCTCCTCGAATCCCAGCAACTAAGGAGGCCAAGACAGGAGGATCACGAGTTCCAGCCCAGCCTGAGCCACTTAGCAGGCTCCTGCCCCAAAATAAAAATAAATTTTAAACAAAGGGGTGGGTGGTGTAGGTGGGGGGGTAGTGTTCTGCCACAGGGCAGGTTCCAGCTGTCCCCCTCCACACTGGTGGCCTCTGTGGGTGCTGAGGGTGACAATTCCACAGGCACGGGGACACCCTAACGGAGGGGAGAGAGGCTTACCTGCCGCAGCCCCAGCCTCAGCTGGATTCACAGAGGTTTGCAAAAGTCAGACTTCCCAGGTTTGGGCAGTTTAAAATGAAGAAGAGAAGGCCATTTTAATTCCTAGGCTCCCTATCTGTGCACCCCGGGGAATGAGAAGAGAAATTCATGTGTGGCCCTGATTCTGACCCTGCCTTGGATTTTATTTTTGTGGTCCTAGGGACTGAATCCAGGGCCTTTGAACTGAGCTGCATCATCAACCGTTTTTCTTTCTTATTTTTGAAGCAGGGCCTCCCAAGGTCAGTACATTACTAGGCTGGGATTGAATTTGCATTCCTCCTGCCTCAGCCTCCCAGAGTGCCTGGATGACAGGTATGTGCCCTCCTGCTGGGCTATTGGTTCACTTCTTCATTCCCTCTGCACAGCCAGTGCCCCTACTAGGTTCCAGGAGCTGAGCCAAAGTGGCAGAGATGGCTGCAGCCTGGTTTCTGTGGCTGGACCCCGGTTCCTGCAGAACTAGGTGCCCAAGGCTGTGAGAGGGCTGCAGGCATGCACCTGGACCCTGCATTCCCAGGAGGCTGAGCAGCACGGCGAGGGCTGATGTGCAGATGCCTGGGGCCCAGGGACAAGGCCAGTGGGTTTCCGGCGAGGCCTCCGCCTCCCCCATCTCACTTTCTACCCAGGAGAGCAGCTCTGACCTTTCTGTCTGTAACTCAGCAGGAGCCCTGGCCAGTTCCCCTGGGAAACACGGATGAGGTCAAGGCCCCAGGAGTGGCCGGGAAGGGCCAGAGACGGGGACTCTGGCCTCCTCCTCACCCCACGATGCCTTTCCTCGGCACACTTAGGGAGAAAAATTGGACACCTTCACACTGCTCCTTTCCTTTGCCTTGGAAATGGAAGTCTTGTCGGAAATCGTGAACAAGAAAATAAATGCTCATCCCAACCTAAAACAGAAGGGGGAGGGAAAACCAAGCCCTGCTACCCAGGTGAGTATCGCCTGCAGTGAGTAGAAAGTGCCACACTGCTCACCTGGCTGGAAACCCAGGAGCCATCTCTCCGTGTGCCTCCCAGTGAGACAGCTGGGGAGCCCGGGCGCTCTGGGGCAGCGGTACGAACCTGTGTGCAGGCGGCAGCACCCTCTGTCCACGGCAGGAGCAGCCCCAGGCTGCACCGGGCCCAGGGCGCTCTCCTCTGTCAATGCCATCCTCCCCCCGCCCTGTAATGATGGCGTGAACCTGCCAGCCTGCCCTGTCCACTTGTCCCGGCCTCCTCCTCTGCCCGGGCCCATACCTAGAGCATTCTTTGGACCCTGCCCTCCCGCCCTGGGATGCTGGCCTGAGACTGCACAAGCTATTTCAGGATGGCTCCTACCCAAGACTGAAGAGGACCGGAGCTGTTTCTGGATTTGGAGACACGGCAGCCTCCTCCCAAGATCAGCAGCTGTGCAGGAGGCCAGAAACAGGACCTCTTGCCCCTGTGGAACGCAGGCCGGGCCTCGGCCTGAAGGCCTGGGGAGCAGGCGCTGATGGACGTGCACATCTGCAGGTGGCAGGTGGATGCCGGCATCTTCAAGGCAGAGCACCTGCCTCCCAGGGAACCTGGGACCTGCCAAGCATTCTCCAGAGCAGCTGCGTCGGTTACATTCTCACCTCCCACACCCACCAGCCCTGTGATGGTCCACCTTTCTTATGGCAGGGGGGTGTCAGCGCCTCACCCCTCTTCACAGGGGAAGCTCTGGTCTCTCGCAGCCCTCACCCCGGGTGATGCAGTCCCCCCACGGCCCCAGCTCTGAGGTGCAGGGCACTGAGTGCCGGACAGATTCCGTTTGAGTTTTAGTCTGTCTCCTCAGCAAGCCTAGGATTCCACTTTCCGTAATAAGATAGGACAGATTCTTTGAGTTTTAGTCTGTCTCCTCAGCAAGCCTAGGATTCCACTTTCCGTAATAAGATCATACTGACCATGACAGCGATGATGACCGCCGCAGGATTTTAACTGGCAATGGGGGATCAAGCACACATCCCCACTCCGCCCTGGGATCCGTGCAAGATCGAGAGTAGATACGTCGTGCCGGAGACCACGACTGAGGCCATCACAAGGCCACAGCTTTAGTTTGCTGCAAAGACAGACCGTGATGGAAGGATTTCTGGAGAAGGTGCTTACCCAGTGTGATCACCTGCCGGACTAAAGCATATCTTTTCAAGGTCATAAACCACGAGGGCAGGAGTGCTGCACTCCAACCTCACTGCACTGGCTGCTGCGCTGCTGGGCTTCGCAGACCTTGGCTGGCTCTGCGCCTGCAGCTGCATGGTTTCCAGTCCCAGTGAACCTCCTCCTGGGGGGGCCCTGGGGGGCACCCGGTGCCTGGCTCTGGTCCTGAGGCTCCTCAGGGAAGCAGAGCCATAGGGAGCCCCGAAGTCCCCTGGGTGAGATGGGGAAGTGACATTTACACTGGCTCTTTCAAGGGTGTGCTTGCTGGACTAACTCAAGATCTTGTCTTACTCACTTTCTTGTCACTACAACAAATACCTGATTCTTGAGACTAAAGGGAGAGGTTTCGACCCATAGCTGCTGGCTCCAGAGGGCCAGGCGGAGGACAGCTGCTCAAGGCACAAAGGACAGGAGGCAGAGGGGGAAGCGAGCCGAGGAGGGGATGAACCCGGCCCGGACACGCCCCTGTGACCGCCCCTTCCGGCTGGCCCCGCCTCCCACATTGGTGGTCCACTCAGAGGTGGACAGTCTTCCTCCTCTTGTCACACCCCCAAGACCCTGTCGCCTCCTCAAAGCCCATCGCTTTGTCCCATGAGGGTGGGGACGTCTAGATGTAAAGCACAGCTAATCTAGAAACTCGGACTATTAATGAGGTCATCTTCCTTTAACACTCAGTACTAATGGCCTGACTGGGGGGGCGCATCTCCCCGGTC